CAACGTTTACCTTTTCCCTTGAGTGAATCCTGTTCCGATAAACCTTTTGATTTATTACACATTGACTTGTGGGGTCCCTATAAACAGTCATCATTAACTGGTGCTGAATACATGGTAACCATTGTTGATGATCACTCTAGAGCAACCTGGACATTTCTCATTGCCCACAAATCCCAAACCATTACCATTGTTGACAAATTTTTGAGGATGACAGAAAATCAGTTTGATAGAAAAATCAAAACAATAAGATTTGATAACGGCACAGAATTCTTGAATAAAGACTTCAAAAGTCTCTTAGAAAGTAAGGAATCATCCATCAAATAATTTGTGTCTATTCTCCACAACAAAATGGAAGAGTAGAAAGAAAACACAAACATTTGTTGCAAATAGCCAGATCCCTTTTATTCCAAGCAAACCTACCAAAAAAATTCTGGGGACACGCTATTTTAATGGCAACCTACATCCTAAACAGACTTCCTACTCCAACATTAAAGTGGAAAACATCTTTTGAGCTATTTTACCAAAAATTACCTTCATATGAACATATCAAATGCTTTGGGTGCCTTTGCTATGCCACAAACAACAAACCTCACAAGGACAAATTTGAACCAAGAGCCTCTAAATGTATCTTCATTGGCTTTGAACCAGGGCAGAAGGCATACAAATTGTATGACCTTATAGATCATAAGATTTATACATCTAGAGATGTAATCTTTTATGAAAATCATTTTCCTTTCTATAAAATTGATAAGCCAGTCAATAAAATCCCATTACCCTATTCTTTTCCAGATTTTCATGTCCCTAACTCTCCATCCAAACACATTTCCCCATCTCAATCCAATACATCACCAATATCAGAACAAAATAACTTTCCTGATCCCATTCCTGATCTTCCAGCAATATCAGAAACTAATCCATCAATAACACAATCCCCTATTTCTCCTCTATCTGACCCTGCACGTATAAGATAGAGTACTAGACTGAAATCCACACCAACCTGGCTCAAAGACTTTGTTACCAATTGTTCTACTGATGGTTTCACTTCTAAATCTGCTGCCTAAAGCAACCTTCGATATACACACCTAATACTTTCCCTTACATTACTAACCCTGCATTTTCCCCTGATTATATTACCTTTCTAGGCCAAGTGTCAACTGTACAGGAACCAAAATCATATGAGGAAGCTAGTGCACAACAAGAATGGGTTACAGCAATGGAAAAGGAGTTGGAAGCTCTAGAAACAAATCAGACGTGGGAAGTGATGCCATTACCTGCTGGGAAGAAACCAATTTGATGTAAATGGGTTTACAAAGTTAAAGTAAATCCCAATGGAACTATAGAAAGATGTAAAGCCCGGTTAGTGGCTAAGAGGTATCACCAAAAGGAAGGAGTCGATTATTCAGAAAGCTTTTCTCCAGTAGCTAAAATTGTGACTGTTAGACTATTCATTGCCTTTGCTACTATGAATTCTTGGCCTATTCATCAACTTGATATAAACAATGCATTTTTACATGGTTTTATTGATGAAGAAGTCTATTTGATTCCCTCAGAAGGATATTCAAAGGCTGAAAATGGAGAAGTGTGTAAACTACAGAAGTCCTTATATGGACTTAAACAGGCATCACGACAATGGAACTCAGAATTTTGTTCCAAAATAAAATATTTTGGTTTTCATCAATCCTCACATGATCACTGCCTATTCATTCATAAAAAGGATTCTTTGTTTCTTGCTTTAATAGTGTGTGTAGATGATGTTTTGGTGACTGGAAATGATGAAAATAAGATAAGAGGAGTTAAACAATATCTTGATCGAATGTTCACCATTAAGGATTTGGATACAGCCAAATACTTCCTTGGTATTGAAATTGCAAGAAGTACAGAAGGGACATACTTGAATCAACGTATATACACATTGGATTTGATTAAAGATGCAGGTTTGATGGGTGCTAAACCTGTCCCTACACCAATACCAAAAGGAACAAAATTTTCAGAATCAGCCGGACCATTGCTCTCTCATCCTGATAAGTACAGGCGGTTAGTGGGAAGACTCCTTTACCTCAATTTTACAAGACCGGATATTACTTATTGTGTTCAACAGTTAAGTCA